AAAAAAAAAAAAAAAAAATCAAATAATAAAAAGTATAAAGTAAAAAATACTGAGTGCCAAAGGAACATTTAGTGTATTAAAAAAAAAAGTTCAAATACAGAAGAATCTGCACGAACACACAGTAAAAATGATAAGCAACATACTGCATCAACTGAAATTCCATAAGAACCCAAAAAAAAAAAAAAAAAAAAAAAATTTCCACCAGTTAACAGTTAACTAAAACTAAAATATACCTGAATTCTTGAAGGCACTAGATAATCCCTTGCACCTTCCGGAGTAGATCTAGATAGAACTGGAGTTTCAATCTACCTTACAAACATTAAAAGGTCAGGATCAACACAAGGAACCAAGCTTTGACATGTGCAATTACTTTGAAAAATAGCTTATTTTACTCAACAATTATTATAAATAAACTGGAAATCAACAAAGTTAACACCTCCACAAAACCATGAATGTCCTCAAGGTATCTGCGAATGAGTTTCACCACTCTATGCCGCAACATTATATTCGCATTCATATGAACACGCCGTAAATCCAAGCATCGGTATCTAATAAGCGAAGACATTTCGTTAGTCTACGTGAAATAATAGCTCCAAATCTCTGGCAAACAGAAAATTGACAGTATATGCAGCCTTTCCAATCAGAGTAGTCTTCTTTTCTTGTGCAGAGCATATTATGAATAACTACAGTTGTGGCTAATGACTTCCACATAAAGGGTGTTGTCGATATTTGGTTAGTTGAAGTAAATGAAAGATCAAATTCTCTGAGAAACAGAAATTGTTAGTTTAAGCAACTCCCTTTAAATCAGGATAGTCTTTTCTCGTGCAGAGCATATATTATGAATAACTAAAGTTGTGGCTAATAACTTCCAAATAAAAGCTGCTGCTTTTCACAAGTCATATATAAGTAACATAGAAGAGAATTTCGAGTCATCAGAATGTTAACTGAGACTAAATGCAGTGAAATAATAAAAGAAATAAAATCTCTATTAACAGTAAGAAATAAGGCCATTTCTTAGAAAATTACAATTCCAAGGTCCAGAAGATCAAATGACTTCAGTTTCGAACAACTCCAAGTAACTCCAATCAATTCATGAAAGAGGAAGAGTAAAAGATCAAAAACCAAAGTTGGTTTCATTCAGAACATTTCAGCTTGCCAAATTAAACATTCATATCGTAAAGTGAAAGTATGAACTTATAAGAATATCTCCTCAGTCATCCAAATGATGAAACCCAAAAACAACGAATGGAGGAGCAAGCACAAACATATGATCTCACATTTCAAAGAAATTTTATTCATGAAAATAAAATAAAAAAATTAAATAGAATCAATTCAACAAGTAAGCATAAAGGGGGCACCATGAAAAACGAGAATTCCAAGTTTATTGAGAGACAGATACATATAGGTTACCTCAATCTAATTTCTTCTTTTGTGTAGTCTTTTGCATCATCTGCTGTAGTAACCAGAAAAGGCAACTTAGATCTCACTGCATTCAATACATGGACATGCTCTGCAGCAACCTGCATGGATAACCAGAAATTCAACCAGATTCATCGTAAATAAACGTACGAATGTTTGAAGAAACAGTCCTTTGATCAAGCCAAGGATAATGAAGAAAAAATCCTCCCATAAAGCAATCCTTTCCTTTTTCTTTTTTCCCCCTATAATTGCCTATTAGCGTTCCTTAGATACTTCATCTAATACCTGATTAATTTACTTCACGTGCATAACTTGGAAGCCGAGTCACAATTTTCAACCTTTAAGATCATTTTTTTACCCAGTCAACTAAAATGTGCATATTCTTAAGAATGTACAAGTAATTAACGAAATGCACAACTAAGGCTCACCTCTATGAGGCCCGTCTTCATTTTCTTATTAATGGACTCAACTGGACGCTGGCGAACCACACCTTCCACAGCGATCACATACTCAAGCCTCAAATCGTTCACAACAGAATGAGCTTCAGGAAACTCATCCGGAAGTGTAGTAACCTGATTAATCAACGAGTATTATCCAGCACAATAATTCAGTATCAAAGAAGATAATAAATACTTGAACAGTAAAAAAAAAACTTATGGATATTACAGAAAAGATAGAACGAACCTGAACAATTCCAGTTTGGTCACGAAGGCTGAGGAAGGTGAGACCGCCGTGAACCCGGTGGAGCGCCACCCACCCGCAGAGGCGAACCCGTCTACCAACGTCCGGTTCGGCCAAGTCTCCGCAGAAATCAGTTCGACTCAACCACTCTAGGGCATTCGAGCTGACATCGGCGGAGGATTGGAGCGGCTGCTTGGGAGTAGGGACACTGAGAGTTTCAGAGTCGGAGGCATGGATGGAGGAAAATGCGCGAGTTATGAGGAGTTTGGATGGATTTAGCTTCGGTCGGCGGAAGGTGAGGAGGAGGACAGGCAGGTGAGACGGGAGTGAGAATTTGGCGCGGTGGGCCACCGCCGGTAGGGAACGGAGGAGGAGGGACATGGCGGAGGAAAGTGAGAACTACAAAATGAATCGGGTTATCTCTCTACACAACCCAATCGAAAGGGTTTTGGATGGGGGAGTGCGAACCGTTGGGAAGCGGACTGGCCCGGGTTTGAGTACGAAGAGCCAGACTTTGTACAGGGAAAATCCTATTGCAGGACTTATGTTATATTTGGTAAAATTAGCTGATAAGCTAGTTGATAGTTGATAAACTATCTTATATGTAAATTTTGAGCTTATAGTTTATAGTTTATGACTTATACCTGAAAAGCTAGCTTATATGATAAAAGGTGTTTGGTAAATTAGCTGATAAGCTAGCTGAAATAAAAAAATTCAACTAGCTTATTTGAAAAGCTAGCTTATGAAATAAGCTCGAGCTTTTTAAAAAAACTCGTCCTACCAAACGAGGCTTATTTTAAACAGGGAGCTTATAAGCTAACCAAATAAGCTAAAAGCTAGCTTATTTGGCTTACCAAACATACCCTTAGACTTTTTGATATTGTGTCATAGTCAGTGTTCTAAAAGTCGCTAGGCGCCTGTTAGACGCTCGACCAACGCCTAGAACGTCCAGACGGAGTCTAGGCAGTGCTTAATGAGGACCTAAGAATCAATATTAAATATCTTATTCTTTATTTATTTTAACTACCTAACAAAATAAAATTATCTTAACTTATAATAAATCGACACGCTTAAGTCCAAATGATAAAATTAATATATTTTACAGAAAAACATGATAACAAAATAATATAATTAGCATTTAAAAAAATAAAATATAAAAATTACAAAATTGCCCCCGAGCCCGCCTAGGTCCGCCTATGACTGCCTAAGCTCCGTCTAACCCCTGGCCGTCGAGCCCGCCAAGTCCGCCTAGCAGCGCCTAGAAGCCGCCTAGCCGCTTGGCCGATTTTTTTCTGTCGATTTGTGCAAATCGACGGCGCCCGGGCACCGCCTAGCGCCTAGGCCGATTTTTAGATATGGTCACAGTAAGGCTTAAAATTTTAACTTTTTCATTAAGTGTTTCAATTTTAGTTATTCTCAATATAAGAAGGCATACTTTTCCATTCTACTTTTCAATTTAAGTCTTATATTTTGATATAATTATGTAAATCACAATACTATTTTTTTTTACATTTATTTTTTATGTACTTATAATGAAAAATATCAAATATATTATTAAAATTACTTAATAAGATAATTCTTTCATAATTTACATTTATGCAAAAGTTTAATGATTTAAATTAAAAATAAATTCTAACTTAACTTTAATTATTAAACATCTGATTCGCTTTCTTCCCCAAATCGCTACTACCTGTTAATCATCATCCGTCGCCTTCCCCGTTAGGACACGTTGGGTGCTCGGCGGTGGCCCCTCTGGGCCCTGCTGTTCGCGGCTGAGAGGAACGCTGTTGGAGTGGGCTTTTCCGGAGAAGCCCGTGCCGTTTTCCGATACTGAGCCTCTGGTGCCGGAAGCGTGTTATGGGTGTTGTTCTCCTCCGGTATCTCCGTTGTGGCGGCCTCCGGCGTTCTCTTGGTGCGAGCGGCGCCCCCAATTTCCCGTTTTAGGGTTTGGGGGGAGATAGGGTTCAGGCCAATTGGGAGCACTAGTCCTGTTTTTCGAGCTTTGGAACCGTGGTGGTCAACGATTGAACGGTGTGTGCTTCTTCCTTGGACTCGCGGTCGCCGGAAGGGTGGAGTTGAGCTTTGGAGTAGTGGGCGCTTGAAATTGTTTGGCTGGGTTTCAATTTCGTTGGACTGAGTTGGTTTGGGGCTGAACAAAGCTGGGTCGGGTTGGGCTGGGTCGGGCTCGGCTGGGCTGGTTGGTCTGGGGTCTCTATCTCCGGGTGTCAGTGGTGTTGTTCGTCTGGACGAGGGTATGGTCCGTTGGTTCTCGACCTAGTTAGGCGTTCTCTTGCAGTTTTTGGGTCGGGACCTGGGACCGTGAACTCGCCGTTGTTGTGCTCAATGTGGTTCTGCTGTGGGAATGGATATCGTTTTATTTTGTTTTTGTTTTCTTTTGATTGTTTTGTGTTCAGTTTTAGTGTTGTTTAGGTTCGGAGATGATTACAGGCTAGGCATTGTGCAGTGGTTCTGTTTATCATTTTCCTTTATTTTCGTTTGTGGAGTTCTCTAGGCCGCCATGTGTGTGTACTCTCAGTTTTTTATTCCTGTTTGTTTAGTATGGTGTTTTTAGTTTGGGCCGTTGGCCCCTGTCTCATTATCCTGTTGGGGTTTTAGATT